CAACAAACACTAGCAACCTCAGTGCCAGAGCCCAGGCAGTAAATTAGACTGGTGTCTAATTCCTAGCTCAGAAGGAGCTTTGGATACAGACAGAGAATGGTTGGGACTGTACCTCAAAGAGGGCTTCTCAGAGGAGGTGACATTTGAAGTGAGTCTTGAAGTATGAACAAGAAGAAAAGGCAGGCCTGGGAAGTAGATGGCAATTGCTGAGTTTAGGGACGGATGAGAAAGGATTGTGTTGGTTTTTGTTGCTGTCACAAAATCCCTGAGGTGATCAGCTTTTAAAGAGGAAAGGTTTATTTTGGCTCATGGTTTTGGTGGCTTCAGTCCATGGTCCACTTGGCCCAGTGCCTTTGGGCTTGTGGCAGGGCTGAGCAACATGGTGGAAGTGGTTAGAGGAGTCCAGGAAGCCAAAGAGAGAGAGAGAAGGAGGGGCCCCAGAATCCCCTTCAAGGTCATACCCCAGTGACCCAAGTTCCCTTCCTTGGGCCCCATCTCCAAAAGGAGCCCCACCACTGGTGAGCACATATAAGTCTTTGTGGGACATTTTCAAGTGACAGCAAGACCACCCTTTGGGTGTCCCCCTCAGCCTGGTTTCCTTACCAGTTGAGAAGGAGGTTGCGTCCAGGGAACAGGAGAGGCATGGTGGTTATAAGAACGACAAAGGTGCTGAGTGAGGTCTCCTCTCAAGGACTGAGGGAGTTCTGCTGGGAGCCACCAGCACACACATGGGCCGGGAATTATTTCTAGAACCCAGGCTAAGGGCTATGCAAACTGTGGAGTGTGGTGACCAGGCATCACAGTACAGTGAGGAGGGGGCAGGGAGCTCCCACTCAGCAAAGATGATGAACTGGTGCCAGGAATCTGGGAGAGTTGATAGCTGAGATCAAGGTCCGCATCTACCAATTGCATCCAGGTTCCTCACCCCAGTCAGCAGTGAGTATTATTGTCCGTTCTCATTGGACACATGGAGACACAGGAACAAGAGAAAGAGTTTGTGCAAAGTCCCAGGGCCAAGGTTCTAACAGAGCCAGGGTCCTGAGCCTGCTGTGTGCTGTCTAGACTCTGAGGTCTAGCTGAAGACAGTCCTCAGGAAGCCAGTGTTACAAGAGACTAAAGAACCAGCCGTGCTCCGCGTATCCCCGCAATGGTCACAGGCTGAGGAGAAGTTCGTGAAAGTTGTCACCCACATTCAATCCTCCTGAAAACAGTGGCTTTTCAGAGTTCTGTTTATTAGCCTTATTAGGTTAATAAATTGAGCATTAGATAAACCAATACAAACAGAGGTGCTGGAGACTGGTTCTCACAGCCTAGAACTCTTCAAGGAAGGGAAATCCCCACAAATAGAAGTTCTTGCATTAAAATCATTGAAAAAAAGTGTGTAGCTGTAGGGATATTCTGTTTGGTTTTTATTATTTTATTTTATTATTTTTAGGCTGGGTCTCATGTATCCCAAGCTGGCCTTGAACTCACTATATAGCCAAGAATGACCATGAACTCCTGACTTTCCTTCCTCTATCCCTGAGTGCTGAGATTAGAGATGTGCACTACCATGTCTGCATTTAGTGCTGGGGATCCAACCCCGGACTGTCTGCATGCTTGGCACGCACACTGAGCTATATCCCTAGCGTTCAGTTTGGTTTTTAAAGAACCCAGATCTTCATGGAGAGTCGGAAGCACAGGGTGTGAAGTGGATCCCGCCTCCAGAAAACTCAGTTTTGGCAGAAAGGCAGGCACAGTTCCAGAGACATGGCCTGCTGGGATTCATATGGTGATGTGTGTGACTTTGAACAAGTGGCCACTCCCTGCCCTTGATGTCTGTAAGGACTTAGAGAGATGATGCGGGTAGCCGAGCCTGCTTACTGCTTAGAGCTTTCTGGAGAGTTGGGAGAGCCAGGGCCCAACAGGGCAGACAGGAACAAGAGGGTCTGACAGAGCTTAGAGGGATCTCCCAGGCTTTGGGGGGCTTAGCCGCACAGCCTGTGTTGACACCTACTCCCAGAAACCATGGAGGCCCTAGCAAGCATGGATCACAAAGGCATCATAGATATATGGGGGACAGTGCAGGACAGAAAGGGACAGATTGCCACCGACAGCCACCTATACAGAGCCAAGGACCTCACCCACACCCAACCTTCCCACACTGGCTCTGCAGTTAACTACGAGCATTCCCCATTTTATTTGGGGGTTTTTGTTTTGTTTTGAGACAGGGTCTTGTATAGGCCAGCCTGATCTCGAACTCTCTATGTAGCCAAAGATAACCTTGACCTTTTCACTTATTATTATTATTATTATATTATTATGTGTGTGTATGTGGAGGCAGGTCACTCACATGACACATGTTCCTCTGCTATAGATGGAAAACTGGAGGCTCAGAGAGGTTAAAAGTCTTACTCAAAGTCACACAGCAAGGAAGCTAGAGAGCTAAGGGATAGAGTGCTTATCTGGCACTTGCAAGGCCCTGGGTTTGTTCCTCAAAGTCCTGAAGCCAAAGTGCCCCCCTCCCTTGCTGTCTGTGCACTTGGCTTCTCACCTTGCTGAGCCAAGATGCATACTGTGGCTTTGAAACTATTATACACAAAGCCAGCGGAGGCTGAGAGAGAGAGATTGCTCGCCAGGCCCCCATGACAACAGTGCCCCTGCCTGTGGCTGGCCTGCTTGTCCTTAGCCTCTCAATGGCTTCCTAGAGCATCTATGAACCCATGAAGGGCCTGAGAGAAGGGGGTTCAGAGAGAGGAGGGGACACACACGCACCCGCCAGTAGCTCTCACCCCAGCCCTGCATGGTAGACAAAGCCGGCCCCATAATTGGGAGTATTTCATACTCGCCCCCCCGATGTTTTATTGGGTGGAGAGATGCTCAGAGACCGAACGAATGGGACATTCCGTTTATAAAGTACATGCCGTTTGTTTTATTTCCCGGGCTCCTGCAATCTAGATAACAGATGACACCCCGAGTGGCTGCGCTGCCTGGAAATGGCTGCCGGAGCCTTTGGAGGAGCATTAATAATAGATTGTGTTGATGAGCTAGGAGAAAGTCGCAATCGACCCCCTGCCGCCAAAGCATTAGTGTGGCTGTTGAATGCAGGCGCACCAGCTTGGTGGCAGAGTTGCTGAATGCGGGTCACCCCCCCACCCCCTCTGCCTGCTATCTTTCCCCAGCCTAGGAAAATCTTATATTTTCCTGATGCCCCCCTCCCCCAAGATATACTGTTCCTGGCCTCTGCCTCCGGCTGTCAGGGACAGGTTGGGCACTGAACAAGAATACCCAACCTAAGAGCCGACTTAGAGCTGAAGTCCAGTCAGGGCGTCCCTTGCAAAGCCAGGGTCTAGGGGTGCTATTGGAGGGGTCTCACTTGCCTTGAACATCTGACCTACTTCAGATCTTCGCAAACCCACAACCACACAGGGGGCTCCTCTGTGATCCTTGCTGAGTTACATACTCATCAAATCCTCATGACGGCCTTCCTGCACCCCCATTTTGCTGCAGAGCAGCCTGAAGCAATAGGTAAATTTAGGAGCAGACAGAGCAAGCCTCCTCCTCCAGACCAGAGCATCAGAAAGCTTCCCAGAGGAGGTGGTGGCATTCGAGGTGGGCATTGCAGGATGAGTAGGAGCCTGCTGGGCAGAACAGAGAAGGGTGGCAAGGGTTGCTGAGGGTGTCCCCAGGCTGAGTGCTCTGGCCAGTGCCAGGACAGCAAGTAGGACTGGAGGAGGCCCTGACCACCTCGACACGGCAGCAACTCGCCGTGGGCGGCGCTGATGGGCAGCCCCAGGAAGGGAGGCAGGCCAAGAGCTCCAGAACCGATTAGCAGAGAATTGCAGCTGTAATCTGTGCCCATGATGGCGGGCCATAAAGAGGGATGGGGCTTGCAGCACTCCCAAGGTGGCGCCCGCAGACGTGGCCCGGGGATGCGAGGAATGAAAAATGGTTTTAATTCCCTCCCAGCAGCAATAATTTGATTCTTCATAAATTTTTCCATCAAAGTGTTGTTGAGGCTGAGTTCCCACAGAGCAGGCACGTGATAGGCAGGGGGGGTGGTGTTGAGAGAAGCGGTCAGCAGAACAGCAGAACACTCCTGCATGAGCCAAGCAGGGGCATGGAGACCCTACCCAGGCTGGCTCCAGGGACAGAAGATGTAGCAGCCACCACGAGGGCCCAGTTCTTACATCGCATGCACTCTGAGCAAGCGAAGCTCCTGTCTGCTCTTCCAGTTTCTCATCCCTAAAATGGGGCCAGGTCTCTCTCTGGCCTCAAGAGCCATTGCAAGATCAAATGTGTGTGTGTGTGTGTGTGTGTGTGTGTGTGTGTGTGTGTGTGTGTGTGTGTGTGAAGTGCTTAGCGCAGTGACTGTCCACACTGTGAGTGCCCAGGCCAAGCCTGAGCTGGAATGGAATGATGAGAAGTAGCAGCCACACCAAAGGGCAGGGACAGAACATGATGTCCAGAGGCCATCATGAAGGTGCTTTGGAGAGCCTGCAGCTATTCTGAGGGGTTGAGGCTGGGAAGCCGAGGATGGTGAGGGTCAGGCTTGGAGCTGGGATGTTCTCCTAAGGGCACTAGGGAGCCATGAAAGAATGTGGAGCAGGGAAGCAGCATGGTTAGATGTGTGTTTTAGAAAGAGCCCTCTGTGTCTTGTGTTGGGGTACGGGTAAGAGAGCATTGAAAGACTTGAGGAGCTGGGAGCCCAGGGAGGGAAGAAGGACCTAGGCTGGAGACTGGGAAAAATTGCTTGGATATGGGTTGTGAGGGCTGAAAAGGGGGTAGAGCAGGTCTGGGAGAGACTGACCATGCACAGTGCCCTCTAGTGGCCACCATGCCTGGGCAGGAAGGCCAGGAGCTGACCACCCAGGAGAGGTAGCTGGTGCCCACCCTGAGACCCCCTTGGGGCCTGCAAGAGGCAGAGGAGGGCTGTGTCCCTGTCCCCCACTGTCTGCCCTGCCAGGCCTGAGGACCAGAGTAGCAAGGAGATAGCCTTGTGTGTCCTCTGTGTCCCGCAGGCTCTTCGCGGCTAAGTGCAGTGGTTGCATGGAGAAGATCGCCCCCACAGAGTTCGTGATGCGGGCACTCGAGTGCGTGTACCACCTGGGCTGCTTCTGCTGCTGTGTGTGTGAGCGGCAGCTGCGCAAGGGCGACGAGTTCGTGCTGAAGGAGGGCCAGCTTTTGTGCAAAGGGGACTACGAGAAGGAGAAGGACCTGCTCAGCTCCGTGAGCCCCGACGAGTCTGACTCTGGTGAGTCCAGGCCTAAGCCGAAACCATGCAGAACATACTTGTTGGGGTGTTGGGTGGAGGCTCCTGAGCAGCCTCGATGGATAGCCAGCCAGCCCTGACGTGCCACAGCCACTGTACACAGCACCACAGCACTCAATATGAGTGAAAATAAATTGATTTGGGCCAACTGTAGGGTCTTAAACACTAAAATGAAAGTATAACCAAAGACTAAAGTGATCCGTATATTTCTTTGAGAGTCCATGTGTATAGCTAAAGGCTACATAACAAGAAACAGTGCCAGACAGGAGATACCTTCCTTTGAGGGTGGCCCAAGAGATGTGGGCCTAGAGAAGGGAAACGTTCAGATGAGGGGTGTCAGAAGCCCATGGTTAGTTTGGTCATGAACATGGGACAGTAGGTCTCTGAGGTCCCAAACCCCAGGGTCATGAAAGCGGCATGTGTGTGTTTCTGGGTGTGCATTCATGCTTCATGCCACGTGTGCCTTGGCACTTGTGTGTCCCTGACTTTGCACACAGGTCTCTGTGTGCCCATGATTGTGAATATCTGTAAGCAATGTGTGTGTGCCCATGAGTGAGCTTACATCTGTGTATGTGCATGTGCATGCATCTATGTATGTGTATGTGTATGTATGTGTGTGTGCGTGTGCATGCATCTATATGTGTATGTGTGTATATGTATGTGTGTGTGCATTTGAATGCATCTATGTATGTGTATGTATGTGTGTGTGTATGCATCTATGTATGTGTATATGTATGTGTGTGTGCGTGTGCATGCATCTATGTATGTGTGTGTGTGTGTGTACACAGTGTGTACACATGTGGTCCTAAGTCCTCCTGTGAGGATGTCTGACCCCTGCCTCTTTGCCTGTCATTTCTTAGTCCCTGGAAAGAAAGCTCTTGGCTTTTCCCCTCCTGTCACCCTGGTCCCCCCTCTGGCACGACACAAGACCCTCAAGAGACCAGCAGGAGAGGGTGGATACCAAATAAGATGAGTTGGGGAATCTCTGGGCCAGCCTGGGCCATAGGTGCCACAGGCCTGTGCAAGCTTCAGAGAAGAGCAGATCTGCCCTTGTGTGAGTGCCAGCATACGGCACATACTCTAGTGTGCCCCCTGAGGTTTGTGCATAGCCATGCATATGCACCTGGATACTGTGCCACACAAAGGTCTGATTGAGTACCTTCTTGAGTATGTGGGCACTCAAGTGTACATGTACCTGCCTGTGGCTACCGTGGTACACATGTGGGGTCAGAGCTGACTGGGCTAGGGACCAAGGTGAGGAGATGAGGAATGTGTATTGAGGTTGGGGAGTGTGTGTATGTGCTGGGAAACAGGAGATGACAGAACAGGCAAGGAAGGACCTATGGGTCTGCTTCACCCTGACAGCACTAGGGAGCCAAAGCAGAAGCAGGTGTCAGCAGAACGGGAGGAGATTCTCTCAGGAGATAGGTCACCTGCAGGTACAAAGCTAGCACACGGGACTGCTCCTCAGCCCTCCCTGACAGGTTGGCTTGTGTCTTCTACAGTGAAGAGTGAGGATGAAGATGGAGACATGAAGCCAGCAAAGGGACAGGGCAGCCAGAGCAAGGGCAGTGGAGATGATGGGAAGGACCCGCGGAGGCCCAAGCGACCCCGGACCATCCTCACCACACAGCAGCGAAGAGCATTCAAGGCCTCCTTCGAAGTCTCCTCCAAGCCCTGCCGGAAGGTGAGGAGAGCAGGGTGGGACAGGGCTGGGGCCAACACCCCTCTTCTGCGTGCTGTGGGTCTAGCCCCCTCCCCACACCTGCTGCTCTTGCTCGGGGCAGGGCTGTCCCTCCACCTCCCCACCCAACTGCTACCTCCCAACCACCATCCACACAGGCCTGACCTGTTTCCTCTCTCTGGGTCAGGTCCGAGAGACGTTGGCAGCGGAGACTGGCCTCAGTGTGCGTGTGGTCCAGGTCTGGTTTCAGAACCAAAGAGCAAAGGTGAGAGGTCACTGCTGCCCAGGCACTCTAGGGAGGGCCTAGGAGATAAAAGGATGGGCAGAAGGACAGGGCAGGGAGGTGGAGAGGAGGTCTGCTGCGGGGGGCGGTGCTGGGACTGAGTGGGCACCTCACCTGTTCCCCCCACCCCGCTCCCCTCGTGCAGATGAAGAAGCTGGCACGACGGCACCAGCAGCAGCAGGAACAGCAGAACTCCCAGCGGTTGGGCCAAGGTGAGCTAGGTGGAGCTATGGCGAGAAACACAGGATCCACTGTGTGGCCAGGGACACAGGGTCCAGTGTGGGGCCAGGGACACAGGGCCTAGGAGTCACAACACTCCCAGATCCAAGGCCAGGAAGCTTCCTGTCTAAACCCATCTGAGATATGGAAAGTGGCAGGGTCCCCTCAGACTCAGTGTGGCCAACCTCTTCCCCCACACCCCACTCACCCAGTCTCACGTAGTTCTCATGGGCCCCTGCCAGGAGAAGGACTATCATGCCCACCTCATGAGGAAACTGAGGCCAGTGATGTTTAGGAGACCTTTGGGGATCACACCACTATTTCAGGGCAAAGCTGGGGCTTGGCCTTGAATATACGGTAAGCTCCAACCTACATTTTTCACAGGGACATAATCCAGGTGCTTACCCATTCCATGAAAGTGTCCCAGAAAAGCTGGGCAGGGTGTGGAGGGGTGGGCTGGTACAAGCAGGGAGGGGCCAGTTCAAGGAGCAGGGACTAGGCCCTACGAAGCTGGGCTTTGCTTAAAAAGCTGTTTCTATATCAGCACCTTGGGCTAGTGCTAGGCTCCCAGGTCCCACAGGGATATGAGACATGGAGGTTGTGGAGGGTACAGAATATAGGGAACTCCACAGACTGCTGGAGTGGCAGTGTGCAAAACTGCCTGCCCCGGAGGAGCGGAAGACCCCTGGGCAGATGCCAGGCACCCATAGGCAGCCTTGCCACTCAGAATGGGAACCAGGTTATCAACCAACAAGGCCCCTCCAGAGCCCCAAATTTCCCCTTTTCTGTCAGGCCCTCTTGAGGCCCACAATCTGCTGCCTCCAGTCATCAGATATACCTGTACTGTGCCTCTCTCTCCATTTCCCCAGCTCCCTTCTTGAGTGCCACCCAAGAATTCCCCCAACTCATCAGAGTCCGTTCCATGCCACCTCATTGCCCACAAGTATGCAGCGACCCCTCTGACCCTTCCTTTCCCGTCTGCTCTGTCACCAACCAGGGAGTGGTTTCATGTCCTTCATCCCTGATACCTACTCTAAATATGACCTTAGCAGTGACCCAGGACCTCATTAGTTCCTCTTCCAACTGCTGTCCCCCACCTCTGTATTCTGCCCCCTACTCCCAGCCTTTCTCCACAGCTCCTCCCTTGCTTCAGATGGCCCCAGGGGGAAGTTCCACTGAGCTCTGCCCCCAAAGCACCCTGTCCACCCTTCAACTTGATTGTTCATGCTGGCTTTCTTTCTCCCTAATGTTCTGGCCTGCAGTCCAACATGACAGATTATCCCCTCCACAGCCTTCTCTATCTCTTCCTCGGGTTCTTCATGTCCTGTTGAAATGATGTCTCCTCCCGCAGGAAGCCCAGGCTTCTTGGGCCTGGGCCCAGGTCGCACTTCAGTGCTCCCACATAGTCAATCTTGGTGATTGGCCACTGCCAACAAAGTTGGTGCCTCTCCAGCCTGAGCTGGGGGTGGGGAGCAGCTGGAGGACAGGAGGGAGTGGGAGGAGGTCTTTGGCTTCGGGGGAGAGGCTTTGGGAGAGAAGGTAGAGGGTATATCTGGGAAGGGACTGGAATCCCCTGGGGAGCCCTGGTGAGGCCAGGAAGGAACATCTGTAGGGAGTACCAGGACAGGGCAGGAAGGGCCAGTTGGTAAAGACACACACTGTCCCCAGAGGTCCTGTCAAGCCGCATGGAGGGCATGATGGCTTCCTACACGCCGCTGGCCCCTCCACAGCAGCAGATCGTGGCCATGGAGCAGAGCCCATACGGAAGCAGTGACCCCTTCCAGCAGGGCCTCACGCCACCCCAAATGCCAGGTGACCACATGAACCCCTATGGTAAGCTGCCCCACCCCCCATCGACCCCAGCACTGCCCTCTGTCCCTGCCTAGCCAGGCACACTGAGGCTATGCCAGCCCCTGCTGCCCAGGGCCAAGGGCTCAGGGCCCAGGGTGGTTCAGCCAGCACAGCCAGCCTGTCTCCCCCTGATGGGAAAGGCCTAGCCCCAATCGGCTGGCCTGCCAGCATCCCCTGGCCGTGGAGCCTGCAAGGCTGCCAGGGCCCCCTGGAGCCCTGGCCCACAGCTGGCTCCTGACATCCCTTCTGCCCCCCAGGGAACGACTCCATCTTCCATGACATCGACAGTGACACCTCCCTCACCAGCCTCAGCGACTGCTTCCTTGGCTCTTCCGACGTGGGCTCCCTGCAGGCCCGCGTGGGGAACCCCATTGACCGGCTCTATTCCATGCAGAGTTCCTATTTCGCCTCCTGAGAGCCAGCCAGGCTGCATGGACGCTTGGGCCTGGGCCTGGGGTGGGACTACAGGCCTCTGCAGCCAGCTGGCCCCCCCCACCCAACTGCCCACCCACACGGACTCTACAGACAGCCATACGGTGCCCTCCCCTTGGCCAGCCGGGCCTGGCTTAAGTGCCCACTGGGCACAGCTGGACAGGCAGATGGGCACAGCCTGGGCAGGGAATGTACCCTGCCCACAGAGACCTTGTGACCCCTAGGGACCCAGAGCTTTTGGGCAGCCACTCGCCTCCCAGACTGTCGACTCCATCACGTCCTTTACCCTCCCCTTCTCTTTTTTTGGGAAGCTCAAATTCTCTCTATTTTTTTAAACATCCACTGTGTCCAGCCAACCTCCATGGCCCCCCATGGCCAGCCCTGGAAGCATGGCATTGTGATGCAGTGCCTGGTACCAGAGAAACAGGTGTGTCAGTGGCCTGGGCTGGCACCCACCTCCCCTTCTGATCAGTGCAGAGGACAGTTTCTGAGATCCTAGGAGGCAGAGGGTCACCGCTTCCAGCCAGAGCCTGCAGCAGAAGCGAGGAGTCGTCAGGCAGGTGTGACGGGCTCTGTGGCCTTGCCTGAACTGGGTGTTACAAGAGGGGACACGTGGCAGAGTCCAGGGAGGCCAAAGGCACAAAGACACACTCGTAAAGGCACCCACACCTACAAGCACACCTGCGTAAACATGCATGTAGAACTGCATGTAGAACACACACACACATACACGTGAAAGAGCTAGACAGATGCTCCGCAGTCAGCCGTGCCTTGTCAGGAAGGGCAAGGGAGGTCAGAGGGCAGAGCCCACCTCATAGAGCAATTGGATCAGGAGGATCCCAGGCTCCACCCAGGCTGGGGTGCCAGGACAGGAGGGTAGCACGGACGCACCCAGCTCCCGAGACAGAGATGGAGCCCTCAGAACCAGGTAGAAGGAGACCCACAGCAGAAGCTCCCGCTGGAAAAGGATCTCCTGACTCACCAGCTTGATGTACTATCTGATACTTGATTTTCTCCCCTCTGCCTATCCTTATACAAGGCTGGTGAGAAGGAGCCCACTGCCTCAGGGGCCCCATGCCCCTCTTGCTGGCTTGTCCTGGTCTCTCCCTGTCATTATTCCTTTCTTAAAGCCAGGCTGAAACTAAATCCTGGCAGGACTCCTGCCTTCAGTTCAGGGCAGCTGCAACTCAACTTTCCCACAGTGAGCAGACCCATTACCTCCCCTGCTTTTGGCACCTTACCTCTGCTAGTCTGATCTGAGATTCAGCTAGTGGTTTGGGCCTCATGACCTTGGGAACCCACCTTGTCTTTCTGTAATGAATCCCCTGGGTCTCACAAGCACATGATGACAGGTCACACCTCTTTCTGTGTACCTGGGATGGGAGAGGTTGCTGACTTCTTAGAGCCCTGAGAAAGACCATGGATTATTGCCTTTCTTTTCCTTGGTTCAATCAGCTTGGGGTGTTACTTGACACCCATCTGACTGCTGGTATTCCCTCCCTCCATCTCAGCGGGTAAGAGGTTGGGGCTCACCTGAAGTGTGGAAACCATTGACTTACCAGTCCTTACTCAGAACATTTCAACCCCCTTACCCACAGAGGCTGAAAAACATTCTTAATGAGCTGGAAGCCAGGCACCCTGTGTCACCCCAGACCCCCCAACTCTCCCTGCCTAAAGAGGAATCAAGGGTGGGTCTGTCCTTGGTGACCCCCAACTGGCCCCTGGAAGTCACTGTGTCCTGGACCAGGTACCCTGGATGCTGCATTTGACTTAATGCTGAGCCTTAGACCCCACCCTGAGGTCTGCCCAGCTATCCTCTGAGCACATGAGGACTAGTCTCTCTTTCCACTTTGGGCTCCTGTACCTGGTTGGCTCTGGAGCCTACCACCCTGCTGTGTGGGTTTCTTCCTCTATCCCTGGGGAGACCTCAGACCCTCTAGAATGTTCTAGACTGATCTCCTCACCATCTGGGCTTCCACTGTCAACCCCACTCAGCTGGCAGCAGACAGAGTTGTCAGGGGGAAAGAGGCAGCTCCCTGTTACCCGTCGGTGCGAACTGCCAGCCTGGCCTGCCTGTGTTCCTCTGGTTACAAAGAACATCACTAAGCTCTTCAACTGAAGTCCCCTGTCCTGAGCCAGCCTCTTTTCTGGGATTAACCTCTTTCCCTTCTGGCACAGGCCCCAGCTGAGTCATAGAGGAGACACTTGGGGCAGACCCAGGGTTAGACACCAGCCCCCAGGAGACCCAGCAGTGAGTTGTGTCTGTCACCCCTCATGACAACTGAGAAACTTGAGCCAGGAGAGGGGCAGGGATGTGCCCAGGGTCTCACAGCAAGGTAGCAACAGAGCTGCAACCCGGGAAAGACACTAGCTCTGTCCCCATCTTTGTACTACAAATGTGTTCTCAGCACACCTGCCAGCCCCCCCCCCCGAGGATCCTCCCTTTTTGTTCCAGGGCCTCCAGACCCCATGTCCAGCCCAGGCCTCTGCTGTCCTCCTGCTGGTGTCCCTAGCCAGGAGCTCCTATCAGGACACTTCTTAAGTTGTTAGAAGAGGGACTCGGCCACCATGCCAGGGTGCTCTGGCAGCAGGCTCAGGACTGTCACTGTGTGGCCTGCTATCCTGCTGAGACACAAGCCCATGCCAGTCCTGGCCTGCTGTGGGGATGAGGGCATCTGTCCTGGAGGAGAGGTAGTGCTTGTTGCAGCCTAGTTAGGAACCTCGCTCAGGTAGGGGAGCTGGGGCTGAAAAGGGAGCTGTGTGGGGTTGACTAGGGTGCTGTGGGGGGTTCCCTGAAGCCTAGAGAAGCAGAGGAGTATGGGAGTAAGAGGAAGAAAGTGAGAGGTGGGCAGGAGTGTCTCAGAGAAAAGCTAAGTCTCCCTTCCTGGCTGGGGATGTGACTTGAGGGTCAAGTAGAGGAAGGAGCCTGCCCAGGTGTCACACAGGAGGGGCAAGAGGTCAGGCTTTGTCCCAGTCAGGGCTCCATCTGCAGGCCCAGTGAGGCTTCCCTGTGCTCTGCCATCCTTGGACACTCACAAAGACACCACATACAGACAACTGGTGTGAGGGTCAGACCAAGGGGCTGCACAGCCAGGAGAGGAAGGGCTGGCACAGGGCAGCCACCATGGAGGCTTCCTGGAGGGGTGGATGTCGAACACCAGGAGCTGTCCCCCACATGAACAGGCCCAGCAGGTCCACGGACAGCAGCCTCTTTCTTAGGGACACTCCTTGCACCCCCTTGAACTGAGACCACCTCCCCAGCCCATCCAGATGACCTCTCTGCCCACATAGGGAACATGGGGGAACAGAGAGTGGATTTTGAGCTCTGGGCACCCCTGGGGCCACAGGGATGCTGCAGCCCAGGGCTGACTCTGCTGTGGGGAAGGGCATCATGCTCACACATGCACATGCACACACACTCACACCTGACACATGGAGGTTCACATGTGGCCTAGGAGAGGGCCAGCAGGAAGGACCCTCCATCACGTGACCCTCGATGGGACCATTGCCAGTGATCTCTGGGGTGGTGCCCTGCCTGGGGTCCCTCGGGAGTGGGGTGCAGCCAGGCTGGGGCCAGGCCACCTGTCGTATTCTTCCGTTTTCCTTGTACAGACTCTGCCTGCCTGCCATCCCCACACACATTTTATTTAATAACTTGTCATTGTTAAATTATTTATTAGCATTACCACGTCACCACCCCTGCCCTCCACTCTCACCTTCTGTCTCTTCCCACAAAAGCAGAAAATGGAAACAAGGAGAAAAAGACAAGATGTTGGTATATTTGTAAATAAACAACCTGTACACGCTTGTGCAGCCTCTCCTTGGGGGATGGGGACTGGGCCTGAGTGGAATTTTCCTGTGACACTAGCAGACTTCTTCATGGCTGCCAGGGGCAGCAGGTCAAAGAGGAGGGTCTTGGGGTCCTTGGTCTTGACCAACTCTACCCCATAATCCTCTTCTCCCTCCTTCTTTGTGCTGCCCCAACCCCGAGCCATCTCCAGCCTTGGGCCTAGTGCATTCATCCATCTCCATATCTGTCTGTCTAATTACCCAGCAGTTACCCATTCATTCCTTCGCTCAACCTTCTTTGAGTGTCAACCAGACTTAGAACCAGGAACTGGTGCCCCTCACCAACCAGAGAGAGAGAAAGTGTGATGTAGCTCAGGTGGCTTACAATGGCACCTTCTTCCTAGGGTCGGTACCTGGTCTCATGAGGGCCTGGGGAGCAGCATCTCCTGAAAGGAAGAAGCTACGTATTTAGCTCAGATTTGAAGTCACCTGACCTGGTGGGGACCCGGAGTGGGTGAGGTGTCTGGAAGTGTTCTGGGTTTATACAACACCTCAGAGAGGGCAGAATGCTCAAGCCAGAGAGGCAACTGGTGCTGGGGGGAGGTTGGAACCAGAAGGATGCTGCTGACCACAGAAGAGACCTGATTGGCTCATGGGGACCAAATGGGGGCAGGGAGGTCAGCCAGGTCCCTGAGGTGAGAGGTGAGTGAAGCAAGGATGTTCCAGACCCTAGAGGTGTAACCCAGGTAATATCCAGGTCCCTGATCATTGTGATAGGATGCAGGAGGAGGAGATGGGGGATGCAGTGCTTTTGATCTGAGGTGTGTGAGCTAAGGGTCCCCAGGATGTCCCCAGATGGGATGGCATGGACCACAGCTGGACTCCCAAGGGACAAAAGGTCAAGTATGGGGTTCTCACTGAGGCACGGACGGGCAGCTTACTAGCCGCCCCCCCCATAATAAAACACAGAACAGAGAAGCCAGGCCAGACCCTGGCCAACCACAAGGCCTGAACATTGAATGTGGCTGCCAGCTGTGGGAGAGATGTGCAAAGGGGTGCAGAATGGGGTTCCCCAGATCTGTTCCTTCAAGTCTCAAGCTTCCTCCAAGTACCTTGAATCCATCTGTGTGTGTCAATGTATGTGAGTACGTATGTGTTTGTATCTCTGGAAGCAGCTCTTTGGATCTGTTTGCTTATATGTCAGCAGATGTCAGCCTGACCCCTGAAGCTAACCTGTCTATCAGCGAGTGTCTGCTACCTGTGTATGAAGACCAGTGTCCCTGAGGTGTACCAGTGTGTCAGTGATGATAGGATATGCATGTGTGGATGTGTAGGTTACTGAGTCCATTTGTATGTCTACACATCAGAGGCATCTGGGCCTTGTGTCAGTCCTGAGGTCCTGTATTCTCTTGTGCCCTATCCTCATTTGCTCCTCTGCAGCCTTCCAGCTCCTGTGGCAGCCAGGACCACCCGAGAACCCCCAAAGAGCCACCATCTCTGCCCATGAGCACCAGTGCCCCCTAGAGGCAGCCTCCAACATGGCCCCAGCTCCAAAGCTCGGGGATTCCATTTCCTTATGAATACCCCCAACAACCCTAAGAAACGGGACCCCAGGTTTCAGAAGGGAAACTGAGGCAGAGAGGAGGCGGTAACTGGCCAAATATGCCAAAGCTAACAAGAGGAGCAAAGCCAGGATTAGAAAGCAGGTCTGACCACAAATCTTCGGCCTTGCCAACTGCCCAGGCTGCTCCCCAAAGGTCCAATTCTCTGATCCTGGGATATGGGCACCCAAAGTCAGGCCAGAGACCTGGAGACAGGTCCTGAGTATCTCACAGAGTCTCAGAGAAAGCAAGTCACATGGCCCACACCACACAGCACAGAGGCATGACTAAGCTGAGCTTTGGCAGTCAAGAGCTCCAAGCTGTAGCTTGGGGGTTGGGGTGGGGGGCTCCCATGCTCCGCCCCTCACCAGCAGTGGGCTGCCGACTCTCTTGCCTACAGCAATATCTAAAATCCTGTCACTAAAAAATGTAGGGGTGAGGGCTATGCTAATCCATTTCTCTCTTGTCACCTGCCTGTCACCCCAACCCCCACCCCCTCCAGCCCAGGTGAAGGCATAGAATGAGGGAGGAAATCTAGACTGAATCCCTGGGGATGAGGGAGGAGGCCCCTCCTCATAGACCCCCTTCCTGGGGGCTTAGAGAGATTGTCAGTGCCACTAAACTATTCGAGACAGACCCTGACCCCAGCACTGCTGGACAGGAAGATTCTGTTCATGGCTTTGACCTCTGAGCAACTCCTGGAGCTTGGCTGCAGAGCAGGGACAGGCCTTGGAGTGCCCATCCCCTTTGCTCCTTCCACAGCCAGGCCACCTGGCTTCACACCAGCAGCTACACAAAAAACATACAGTGCTCAATGTGGGGAGGGCTCAGGAGGGTACTTGGGAGTCCAGGGAAGGCCTCCTGGAGGAGGGAGTTCTAGGGTTGAGCCTCCCAAAGTCCTCAGAGTGGAATGAGCAGAGAAGGGAACAGCAAGATTGTCTGGGAAGGAGAAACAGCAGAACCAAGGCTAAGAAGCAGGAAAGCAGGGCACACCCCACTTGAACTTGGAGTCTGAGGGTCAGAGATGAAGAGCTGAGATCCGGAATGGTGTCTGTGCCCATGTGGGGCATACCAGGGACAGACAGGCAGGGAAGGACACCTGACATGTCACCTTTTCCAATCCAGCTGGTACTCAGGTCAGCACACTGTAAATACTGTGTAATAGATTTGAAACAATCTTTTCATTCTCGAACGTGCACACAGGAGAATAATAAAACGCATGCCCATTCCTTCAGTAAAGAATACGTGCATTTTGCTTGCTTTGGAGCCATGGGTGTGCCTGGCCAGGGTCCTGGAGGCTCTAATTTTCCATTTGGAAAACTATCAACTGTGACACAAAAACGTTCTTAGCACAGAATCCAGAAGAAGTGAGCCAGCGCTAGGCAGCCCCGGCATATCTCCCCTGTGTGGCAAAGCATCCAGATGGGCACCACCCCTCCCTTCATAGTGGTACCGAATCCCCAAGGCTGTGGTTTGAATTTTGAACTGGTCGTGCATTCACCCATTAGGCCACGAGGTGGCACTCGGGAGTCAGGCAGGTGAGCACCCAGACGCTGGGTTAGCCGGGGGATGCTGAGGATTCTGCAGATGGCCAGAGTGGGAAGAAGGAGTGAAAGAGCCACCTTCCCTGCACCAGAGACTTCTGTGTGCGCTGGACATGATGCTGAGAATTCCATACCCCACACTTTGAAGAAGTGGCCATAAGCACCCCATGTTGCAGACCAGAAAGGCCAGACAGAGACATGTGGAACCTTCCAGAGCTGGGGCCCAGGAGCACAGTTGGACTGTTCTGACCTGGGCCAGTATTTCATTCGATCATTTTAGTCATTGTGACTTACCACTGGGCACAAGTGATCTGGCAGCTACACTTCTAGATCAGGGAAACGTCCAGAAACTTTTCCTGTGGCATGAGTCCTTCTGTCCTCTGAGGCTGGAGACAGCAAGTATTTAGGTGAGTATGGATTTCCCATGGTCACAGGGAAAAAACACCAGGGGAAGCCTATGGCTCCAGCATCAGGAATCTGTCCCTGCTGTGAGCTGACCTTGAATCTGTGGTCAGAGCACCTGTCCCCTGTGATTGGTCCAAGGGTGCCTATAGCCATATTCCTGCCCACAGGGGGAGCACTAGAAATGGACCAAGTCACAGGCAGTGTCCTAGTTTGTTTCTCCATTGCTATGACAAAACACTCTGACCAATACCAACTTGGGGAGGAAAGGGGTTATTTGGCTTACATCTCCTGGGTCACAGTTCATCACTGAGGGAACCTAAGGTAGGAACTCAGAGCAGGAACCTGGAGGCAGGAGCTGGAGCACAGGCCATGGAGGAACGCTGCTTACTGGCTTGCTCCCCTGGCCCCTGCTCAGCCTGCTTTCTTACACAACACAGGTCCACCTGCCCAGGGTGGCACCACCCACAGTGGGCTGGGCCCTCCCACATCACATCACTATTAAACCATAAACTTTCCAATTTTTGTCCCCAAGGTATGTTAATATCACAACATAAGACAGTACAACCTTAAAAACCCCACAGTCCTTAAAAAATCCAAACACTTCAAAGTCCACAGTCTCTTTTAAAAGTGTCTTAACCGTGGGCTCTTGTAAAATCCAAAACAAGTACTGTCTTATTTCAAAGGGAAGAATGGGGCACACCTAAGCAAAACCAAAGTCCAGCAAAGTAGCTCAAGGCTAGACATCAGGGATTCACTCAGAATCTTCTAGGCTCCAAAGGGTTCTGGCAACCTCTCTGACTCTGTCCATAGCACACACAGCTTGTCTCGAAGACCCAAGATGGCTCCATTCCATACCCGCCACTGCCCTTGGTGGTCATCCCATGGTCCTGGCATCTCCAAAAAACTGAGGCCTCCACTGAAACTGAGGCTGCACCTTCACCACCAGCTGGGCAGCCTGGACTACATACTGAGTTCAAAGCCAGCCTGAGTTACCTAATGAGACCCTGCCTTAAAAATCCAAAAAAGAGGGGGGGATTGCTAGTGAGATGGCTCAGTAGTTAAGAGCACTGGCTGCTCTTGCAGAGGACCTGGGTTCGGTTCCCAGCACCCATGTGGCAGCTAGAGATCATCTGTAATTCCAGTTTCAGGGGATCTGACCCTCCTCTTCTGGCCTCCACCGGTATTGCACACATGGTACATTTACATACATGCAGGCAAAGCACTCACACACATAAAATAAAAATAAATAGAAAATAAAAAGGTGCATGAGATAATGGGTGGAGGAAGGTACACAGTAGACTATATATATGATCACCTGGCATCTCAGCTCTCATGCCCTAGCACACCCGCCTGGAGCAGAACTCCCTCCGCTCCCACACCTATGGAGAGGAAACCTCTCTAGCCACCCATCGCTAGCCCTGCCACGCTGTGCCTCAGCCCCAAGCGCTGGCAGCAGGATGCTTCATGT